GTAGTGAAATTTTGGAGGAATACGGACTAGGTGTTTTGTGGAATGTCCGCAGTTGACACTTGCCTGGTATTTCCTCTTGAGGAGATTCAGGCTGTGTCCTTTGGGCAGGAGTACAGCATATTTCTGATGTTTTCTATCACTGCATTATGTCACGAGGCACATGATTCTCGTTTCGATTATTTGGCTAAGGCAGCATCTGCCTCTTTTCCCCACTGTATAAAAATGCTGGTTCTTCCTTTGGTGGTAAGAAATGGCTGTGGGGAGACATTTTGAGACTATATAAAGATCCTGTTTCTCTTTAAGCTTCTCTCGGTTTCCTTGTGGTTTTCATTTGCATTTCTCATCTGTGAAGTGAGATTGAACATGGCTCTTGTGTTTATAAGCTGTCTCTCTTTACCTTCACTGTGAGCCTTCACTGTACACAGCTCTTCCTTTTTAATCAGTTCCTGTGATTGGAGAGGCCACCACTCTCGATATCTGAACTTAACTGCTTGCTAAGCAAGGGAGAGCTGGGCTGCAGCACACAGGCCCTCTACGTGTTGTCGAGCATCATGGGGCTCGGGGATCAGTGACTTTCAGATGCAGGGATGTTGAGGGATCGCTTGGCCTTTGGTTTTGGAAGGTAGACAGTGGGGTGAGGCTGCTGCAGCCTGTCTGACTTCCAGAAGTGTGGTTACTGGTGTGAGGTCGCCATTGGTCCATTAGGAAAGGTTTTGTTTTGTTTCTAGTCAATATTCTGTGGAACCATTAAGAAAGGTTTAAACTGGCCGGGCGCGGTGGCTCAAGCCTGTAATCCCAGCACTTTGGGAGGCTGAGACGGGTGGATCACGAGGTCAGGAGATCGAGACCATCCTGGCTAACACGGTGAAACCCCGTCTCTACTAAAAAATACAAAAAAAAAACTAGCCGGGCGAGGTGGCAGGCCCCTGCAGTCCAGCTACTCGGGAGGCTGAGGCAGGAGAATGACGTAAACCCGGGAGGCAGAGCTTGCAGTGAGCTGAGATCCGGCCACTGCACTCCAGCCTGGGCGACAGAGCGAGACTCTGTCTCAAAAAAAAAGAAGGGTTTAAACTGGTTCTCGTGGTTAGTTATTTATGGTTTGGGATTATAACCAAACAAGAAAGGATACTCCGTCTCTTTCTTCTTGAATGTGGAGAATTGGAAACTCAGTCCAGGCCCTGCCAGGATTCACAGATACATGCCGTGGTCCCAAAGCCTTTTCTTTTCTAGCTCATCTGAGGGGCAGGGTACCCAGTCTTCAGCACCATAGGCCCCAAGCAGGGAGGGTGCCAGGTGCTTTGAAGGAGGTGACGCTGATGTGCACCCCACCAGCTCCCATCTTGAGAACAACTTGCATTGACAAAGCCCTTTATAATGTCAAACCACTTTTAAAAAATTCAACTTTCCGGCCAGGCGTGGTGGCTCACGCCTGTAATCCCAGCACTTTGGGAGGCCAAGGCAGGTGGATTGCTTGAGGTCAGGAGTTTGAGACCAACCTGTCCAACATGTTGAAATGCTATCACCCCATCTTTACTAAAATGCAACATGGGCATGGTGGCAGGCACCGGTAATCCCAGCTAGTGGGGAGACTGAGGCAGAATTGAACCCGGGAGACGGAGGCTGCAGTGAGCCGAGATTGCGTCACTGCACTCCAGCCTGAGCGACAGAGCCAGGCTCCGTCTCAAAAAAAAAAAAACTTTCCCATTAAATTTGTGTATACTTTGTGACATTTCTTCAAATCACATGATTTTTAAAATTAAAATGGGTTTTTATGGTTTTTAGTAAAACTACATGTTTAAAAACTGATTATTAAGCTGGGTGTGGTGACACATGCCTGTTGTCCCAGCTACTCTGGAGGCTGAGGTGGGAGGATCGCTTGAGCCTGGGAGACAGAAGTTGCAGTGAGCCGAGATCACGCCACTGCATTCCAGCCTGGGTGACAAAGTGAGACCCCGTCTCAAAAAAATAAATAAAAATAAATAAAAGGGCCCCACGAAATCCAGGCCAGGGGTAACTGGTGAACTGATTATCTATTTAAGATTTACAAATCTCGGCCGGGCGTGGTGGCTCAAGCCTGTAATCCCAGCACTTTGGGAGGCCGAGGCGGGTGGATCACGAGGTCAGGAGATCGAGACCATCCTGGCTAATACGGTGAAACCCCGTATCTACTAAAAAATACAAAAAACTAGCCGGGCGAGGTGGCGGGCGCCTATAGTCCCAGCTACTAGGGAGGCTGAGGCAGGAGAATGGCATAAACCCGGGAGGCGGAGCTTGCAGTGAGCTAAGATGGGCGACAGAGTGAGACTCTGTCTCAAAAAAAAAAAAGATTTACAAATCTCAAAACTCTAAGATAGAGATTGTGGCATCTAGTCAAATACTGTTTGAAATACTATATACTCTCAAAGTTTTAATAACAAAATGGTAAAAATTATATTGAAGGTTCAGTCTCCTCAGATTCTTAAAAACTTCTTTGTGAATGATATAAGCAGGATTTAAGGATAGCATCTCCACCTAATGAGATGTAACACTTGCTTAGTTTTAAAATGTCCAGATCAATTATTGTTATTTCTCGAAGCATGGGCTTGGGTCTGCAGCATGTTGGGCGCACAGCATTATGGGAAGGGGAAAGGCACAGGCTGCCTTAGAGCTGGGGTTTCAGAGTGAGACAGATTTGGCATAGAGTCCAGGGACTCCACTTAAAGTCTGCGGGCAATGGTTACCTATTTGTCTGAGCCTTTTGTTTCCTCATCGGCATAATGATTTAATAGGCCATTAGGAGGGCTAAAGGAGATAATGGGCCAGGTGCAGTGGCTCACGCCTGGAGTCCCAGCACTTGGGAGGCCAAGGCGGGTGGATCACCTGAAGTCAGGAGTTCAAGACCAGTCTGGCCAGCATGGTGAAACCCTGTCTCTACTAAAAATACAAAAATTTAGCCTGGCGTGGTGGCGGGCACCTGTATTCCCAGCTACTCAGGAGGCTGAGCCAGGAGAACGACTTGAACCCTGGAGGCAGGGGTTGCAGTGAACCGAGAATGTGCCTCTGCACTCCAGCCTGGGTGACACAGCGAGACTCCATCCCCCCCGCAAAAAAAAGATAATGCAAGAAAGAGACATAGTCTGGTACCTGGCACATACGTCCTCAGCTAGTGATTACTGTAATGAAGAGGTTGGAAGAATCTGATCACCTTTTACCTCTACATACTTAACAGATCAAATTCTTCATGCTAATTATTTTAACTACTGGATTAGTTGTTTTTGAATGTTCCCCTTTTATTAGGAAAAAGTGCCCAAAAAGTTAAGTTGGTGGTTTTTACTTTAAAAAACAATTGGCCGGGCGCGGTGGCTCACGCCTGTAATCCCAGCACTTTGGAAGGCCGAGGCGGGCGGATCACAGGGTCAGGAGATCGAGACCACGGTGAAACCCCATCTCTACTAAAAATACAAAAAATCAACCGGGCACGGTGGCGGCGCCTGTAGTCCCAGCTACTCGGGAGGCTGAGGCAGGAGAATGGCGTGAACCCAGGAGGCGGAGCTTGCAGTAAGCTAAGATCGCGCCAATGCACTCCAGCCTGGGCTGAGCGAGACTCTGTCTCAAAAAAAAAAACAATTAAAGAATAATTTCTGACCCACTTATTGTAAATTGAAATGTATTGTAAATTGAAAACGTACCAAAACCTCGTAAGCATCTGCTTTTTTTTAGCTTTGTAAGATAAATATCAGGGAACATCTATCTTTGAATTGTGACCAATACGTTGTCCTGAGTGTAATGATTAAGAGGGAAGGATCTGGAGTCACACTACCTGCTGAAGTCTCTGCTCTGTCCCTGATTAGCCGTGTGAACTTGGGCAACCGCTCTGTGCCTCAGTTTCCTCATCTCTCCAGCACGAGGGAGGGAGTGGTAGCTCCCTCCTCGAGTTGTCGTGAGGATTATTTATGGCTGCAGTTAAGGTGCTTCGGGCAGGGCTGAGCACCAGGTAAGCATCAGCACATTGGCCAGCATTATACTTTGCCTTCTCGGCTAGTGATGCAAGTTATTTTAATTTAAACCGAATCCATTCTGTACTACTGATTCTTTTTCCCCTTTATGTTTTTTTTAAACCAAATAAACAATAGCTTTCCGTCTTCCACAAAACATTGTGTCATATTTGTATCACACATGTATGATGATCTTATGTTTATGTAAAGCTATAAACCTCACCTGAATCAATGTACTGACTACACTGTATTGAAGTCATAGATTTTTAAACTAACTTGCTTTTTATCTTTTCTTTCCTTTTCTAAAGTGACGTTCCTCCATCTTACGTTCAAACGAAATTTTCTAGGCTGAAAGCTATCTATGTTCCATTTTGGCAGAAAAAGACTTTTCCAGGTTAGTATTGTTAATATTTATATGGCTAAGAACATGGCATTTGGTGCCAC